GAGCACAGGGTCACTGGCAAGAGCTAACAGAAGCTCTGAGATGGGCATATTAATGGCTCAAAGAGAATGATATTTCGAGTATCTAGCACAAAGCGAGAGCCGATGCGATGGTCAAAGCATCGGACAGGCGGCCGTATGGCCCGGATGGGTGGGTGGGCTAGCTCAGGGACGCCGGGCTCACAGGGGGCTCACAGCCTCACACAGAAAGCGAACGGGCGCCCGAGGGCTCACAAACGGGCGTGAGCCCGGCTCACGAGCCCGCATGTCCAGTCGATTGGATATTCTGGCAAGATGCAAGCACACTGATGACGAATTGGCTTCGTTCAGCGATGGCTCCAGGCGGCAATGAACGGGTCGTTTCAGCTGAGGTCAAACGCCTCTCGGACCATGTATCGCTTGTATTTATGACTCGAGAAAATTCGTTTGTAGCCTGTCTTGTATCATTGGGCAGGTGCAAAGGTCGTACTGTACGGCAGACTCGCATTCTTCCATAATGAGCGAGCACTGCATGCCAATGACTCGACGCGTTCTATCGTACTGTCCTCCGGCAAATGCTCGAGTTGCTGTGCATACCTTATGGCCTTGGAACGAGTACTGCAGCAGGAGATCGGACGCAACGCGTGACGGTTCATGCTGATTCGTCACACTGCGCCCATCACGCAGGAGCGGATCGTGCATCTTCCCTCTCGCCCGCTCTCAACGCTCTTCTGGCCCGTGAATTCGGTAGACACCACTGTCCAATGAGGCTCTTCGCCTTGTCCATCGAGAATAAACAGACGCTCTGGGGAGACTAGCTGGGAGACCGAGTGAGAATGAACTGGGGGCTGTGCAGGCACGGTCTACTGGGCTGCAAGGTGCGCCACCTTCTCAAGGTGCCAAATCGCCAGAGACCGTCTGCTGACCTCTTGATAGAGACCATGGATCAGCTCTGCAACTATGGACGAACAAGGAGAAGCAGAGCGGCGCAAACTCGTTGAACAGCCGCGTGAACGTGGGCAGACGCAATCGAGGTCGATGGCCTAAGACTTGTCTATGCGGTGAGTTGCGTTGCTCCTTCATTTTCAGTGAAGCTGCTCATGCCCCGATAGTACTTCTTGACACCTGCCCTGCTGGATTCATCGGACACTCTGGACGAGCCTCTAGATTGCGCTGAAATCGACCTGCAGCTCTAATCAACATCTGGCCCGCTCTTCGTCCATTTATCGCTGTCTTCCACTCTTAATGCCTCACCCTCAATGCTGCCCGTCTCTTCAATCAATACCGCCCTCTCATCTTCCATATTCGTCGCTGTATGCCCCTCCGCCTCCTCCCTGCCAACACCGTTGCGTCCTACGATGCGCTATCGTTCGTTCGAATATCTTATTTTTTTCTCGTTCATGGCCAGCAAAGATGCCTACCGTTCCTGTGAAAAATCATCTTCCTAAGCAGGCCCCCTACCACTCGCGGAGATGCCCCAATTCGCCCCGTGCCCCGTCACTTGGAGACTGTTGGTTGCACCGATCAGGAGGGTCCCCAGTACGACGACCAATTAGTTGCGCGTACGCTTGCATCGGAGGGTGAGTCCAGTCACTGGGTGAGTTCAGTCGCTGTCTGACCTCTTCGTCGCTCATCAATCTTCTTCACTGTCATAGCCACACTTACCGCGCCGTCGCAGACCCATGCACAAAATCTCGCCTTGCCGCGCACGATCTACATTGACCGCGACGACTTTGGCTTGTCGATTCGAAAGATTACTTCCGCCTTGCACCAGACAAGACTGTTGGCCTCAGGCGACGGGCCAGGCCACCGAGATCGTGCACGGAGATTGAAAGCGAGCTCGCAACGAAGAATTCAAGGCACTTATCCAGTGTATCCAGAGCAAGTGCCATCGGGAGTCCGTCACCATCGACGACCCGCGGCCGCGCAGCCCTACTTCAAGGCGGACATCAACGCGCACAGCCTCAACATCGTCAGGGGCGTGATGGTCGAGGTCGGCTTCTGGCCGCTCGCCGTCTGTACGACGAGGCGCGCACCATGAAGGCATGGGCGACGGCGCGCCGGCGACAACATGCCCCAGGCGGCGAGCGAGCAGCTTATCGGCAAGGAAGTCATCCGCTTCCAGGGCATCCGCGTCGCGTACTTCGCGCTTGACAAGGACGCCTGAAGGCGCATCGCATGTGTTCTTGGATTTTGGGACTCTGTTCAATGATATTGATCCCTTTATGGTGCGTCTCATACGCCTGTTGCCCTAATTTCCCACTTCCTCGCTCGGTGCTCTTCGTTGCCTTGTCTGAGCTTCCCTTGTTCGTTTTCGTATCACACCTTTTTTCCTTTTCTTCTTCTTCTTCTACGCCATCCACGTCATCCACCTAGTGTTGTTCTTGTGCACCAATATCCTTATTTTCTGTCATAGCAGACAAGCCCTTCTCTTCCGCTGTCGCAAATTTCATGTGTCGGGTAGCGGCACCAGTCCACTTCCCCGTCATTCTGTCAGCTTCATCGCAGCCCTGCTAACGCCATTTCTTCGGTTTACTTGCCACTAGCATCACTCGTCTTTAACAGCCATCGTCTCGTGGGTCGTCCACGCTCAACTGCCTTCCGGCTCGTCTTCGACCGTGGAATTGGTCTCTTTCAGCTTCTTCAATCGCTCTATCGACACGACTTATCTCGCGTCGCTCTCGCATCGACGGTCGACCG